ACTTTTTTTTGACAATGAGACATGTCTGCTTCTGGAAGCACCAGTTTACTTCAGAGAGGTTGATGGGCATCGAAGAAACATGTTATGGAATTTGCCTTCAATGTGACAAGGCTAACCATTTGGGCAAGAAACTGCTCTTGCCTGGACTGCTTGATGTTATGCTGTATCAACTGAACATGCAGGTCCCACAGAAAAATGAATGCTGAACTTGCCTAAAGAAGGTGAAACAGCCCCTTGGGGTTCCTGCTTCATGAAAGAAATTGCCAGACATTCTGCAGGACACAGAAGAAAGTGATTGATGAACTTCACCATTATAAGGTAAAACAGATCTTCAAATTTCCTGCTTCATGGAAAAGTCTGCTAGATACTATGGGCTTGTGGGCTAAAGATGGATGCCTCAACAGTACAGAAGAACATTGGGAGACTGTCCAGACAGTGAGATGTCTCTGTCATTTCTAGAACTTTGGAAGTTGCTTACAATGTACTTCCTGTTTATTTAGGTAATATTATATCCGTCTGGGGTCTTTGAAGAGTTGAAGACAGAGAATTATAGTTTCCCTTAGTTGTGATAAAGAATAAATTAGATATAAAACTTTAGACTTACAAAGATAGGCTAGATGATAGAGTATTTTCCTTAATTTGATATATGTAGACTAAATATTGTAAGACTAATTCTTTTTTTTAATATAATTTTTTATTGAAAAAAAAAAGATTTCCGCCTCCTCCCTGCCTCCCATTTCCCTCCCCGTCTCCCTTTTCCCCCCTCCTCCCTCTCCGTTCCCCCTCCACCCCACTCCTGTCCCCCTCCCTCTCCAGTCTGAGGGGCAGTCAGGGTTCCCTGCCCTGTGGAAAGTCCAAAGTCCTCCCCGCTCCATCTTGGTCTAGGAAGGTGGACATCCAAACTGGCTAGGCTCCCACAAAGCCAGAACATGAAGTAGGATCAAAACCCAGTGGCATTGTCCTTGGCTTCTCAGCAGCCCTCATTGTCCGCCATATTCAGAGAGTCCGGTTTTATCCCATGGTTTTTCAGTCGTAGTCCAGCTGGCCTTGGTGAGCTCACAATAGATCAGCCCCACTGTCTCCGTGGGTGGGTGCACCCCTCGTGGTCCTGACTTCTTTGCTCATATTTTCCCTCCTTCTGCTCCTCCTTGGGACATTGGGAGCTCAGTCCAGTGCTCCAGTGTGGGTCTCTGTCTCTATCTCCATCCATCTCCAGATGAAGGTTCTATGGTGATATGCAAGATATTCATCAGTATGGCTATAGGATAGGGTCATTTCAGGTTCTCTGTCCTCAGCTGCCCCAGGAACTAACTGGGGACATCGCCCTGGGCACCTGGGAGCACCAAATCTCTTGCCAACCCTAAGATGGCTCCCTTAATTAAGATGTGTGCTTCCCTGCTCCCCTATCCGACCTTCCTTTATCCCAAACATCCCGTTTCCCAAGTTCCCCCCAACCTCCCCTTCTCACTTTTCTCTCCCCATGTAAGACTAATTCTTAATATCTGTTTTGCTATATGTAATTTTACTATGCTAAAACCTTCCTTTTTATTTAGACAGATAAGGGGAGATGATGTAGGATGTCCTTCTGTATATGTGTTGGTATTATTGGTCTATGGCAGGGCAGAATATTGCAGGTTGAAAGAGATAGATAGATAGATAGATAGATAGATAATAAGTGGAGTCAGGGAGATGCCATGTAGCTGCTAAAGGAGACAGATGCCAGACCCTTGACAGTAAGCCACAGTCTCATGATGATACACAGATTAATAGAAATGGGTTAATTTAAGATGTAAGAGTTAGCCGGGCGGTGGTGGCCTTTAACCCCAGCACTTAGGAGGCAGAGGTAGGCAGATCTCTGTGAGTTCAAGGCCAGCCTGATCTACAAGAGCTAGTTCCAGCACAGGCTCCAAAGCTACAGAGAAACCCTGTCTCAAAAAACAAACAAACAGACAGACATGTAAGAGTTAATTAATAAGAATCCTGAGCTAATAGGCCAAGCAGTGTTGTAATTAATATAGTTTCTGCATGATTATTCAGGTCTGGGTGGCCAGGAAACAAAAGAGCAGTCTCTGTTTACACTTGAATGTTAAAATATAATAGTACTTTCATGTCATACTAAATAAGTATCAAGAGCAACTTAAGGACCAGACACAATAATACCTTGTGACCTGAAAACTACTTTTCAGGGGCTAACTCCTTCTATTTGTCAGGGTTCTCCAGAAAAACAGAACCAATAAAATGTGTACTAAAACATTTACTGGACTGGCTTATACAGTATGGCATTACCAGATAGTTAACGACTATCTCCATGCTGGAGAGGCTAAGAAGCAAGTAGTTTCTCAGTTCAGAGACACATTGCTCAGCAGTCCCAATCTGGCAATGAAGTACTAGAATGCCCAGAGAGCTGCTGATCTGACTCAGGTGTCAGGGAAGGAGACAGCGGCAGTGGCAGGAGCAGAGGAGATGCTCAGCAGAGACACAGGAAAGGCAGGCAGGCAGCGATCCTCTCAATCCACTTTTTATCTGGGTCACTTTCGGGCAGATGCTGCCTCCCATAACCAGGTGTCACCATAAGGGAGGGTCTTTCCCCTTCAGTCAGTCTTGAAGAATTGTCCTGAAGGACTGGATCAGAAACACCTCTCTGACAAACAAGTTCCACCATCACAACCACACACTCACCATTACTATGTCCCGTCTGACCTGATTACACCTGGAGCATAAAATAGCTGGGAATTTAGAGCAGGTCTTTGCAACCAGGTGGGAGAATGTGTTTCTACAGTGTCATTAGCTTCACCTGGGTAGTTTCCCCGTGAGCATACTCCTCTTTTGCCCTGGGCTCTCCCTGTGTGTGATTTACACAGGGTGAGAGAGAGCCCTGAAACACCCTATGGGGAGAAAATCCTCAAGCTGGTGGAGGATAAAATGAATCATTAAACTATGTATATGCTACTTATAACTGTTATTATCAACTGTTTTCTAATGCTGGCCAAAGCTAGAAAGATGAAAGTCATTGTTACTAATTACAAATTTAACTCTGATGAAAACATGGATTGGGCTTTGGGAGTTGATACTAAGTAGCTTTTTGATGCCAAGGAAAATGTAAAGATGTAAAAAATGCAAAGCCTTGGCCACATGTGAAACTCAATTTGGAGGCCCAGCATTTGCTCATTACACAAGGCATCCAAAGCAGTGTGCGTGGGGGGGGGGGTCTCACGCTATTCATCACTTAAAGGGTCTCATTCTAAGCTTCAGAAATGTGACCCAGAGACCAAGCACGAATAGTAGATTGGAGGACAGTTGATAGCTGAAGTCGAATTTTACTGCATTTAAGTTATACCCAGGAAGCTCAAGGGAACAGAAAATTAGATGCCAGGATAGCTTTTGGTTATTCTTGACAACGTGAAGATGTGCAGCGTGATTCTCCATTTCCCACTGAAGCTGACTCAGGATTACTGCAGGTTTGTTGGGAATGGTAACGTTGCGGAGCTGCGAGATAATCAAGATTCTACCCTGTAGGTGTCCCTGCATTCTGACTAACTGCATTTTCCTTTCCTCGTGCCCCTACCAAGGCTATATAGTATGAGGTCTTAATTTAAAACAGTACGGATTTTTAAAAAAAAAAACCTTCTTTTTAATTAATACTTAAAAAAAATTCCTATTTTCCCCTTCAAGGCCACAAGATTTATTTACAGCCATGGGGTAGACAGACCATGGCAGGAACTCTGAGGGAAGTTCAGGCCCCAGCACCAGAGAGATTGCATGGGAGGATGGCTCTGAAGCCTCTAAGCAGATTTAAAGCCCCTTGATGGTTTTTTAGAGCAGGGTTATATACATACCTGTGTGTTTGTGTGTGTATACATGTGTATGTATATATGCATGATGTATGTATGTACATGTATATGCATATCACCGTTAAAGAGACATTTTAGGGGACTCCAACCCTTAAAAATGTAGTATTACTTAAAAAGCTAAAAGCCTTGTCAAGCTCTATCTTATTAAATTTTTTGCGTTATGGAAAACTCACACTAGAACAAGAATTTCCAATGTTCGTGGATAGGAACAAAAACGTAGCCAATAAATGTTTCTGAAAAATCATAGACTTGGGGGCAGGACGGGGTTCTTATACTGAACCTGCAAGCCAGAAGCAACCATTAGGCTTAGGCACCCCTCCCCTCCGCCGGATAACCAGCCGGTCCAAATCAACACCTAGCAGCCAGCCTGAGCGCGGCGCTCGCCGCCCCAGACTGCTTCCCAAGGTCCCTCAGCGTCCACACCGATGGTCCTGGTAAAGTTTTAGAAAGTGAGAATTTCCAGGGGCTGAGATTCGCCAAGTTCACCAGGAGGCCGAGGCTGGGAACCCATGTGGGTCCTGCTCCAGGGCAGCGGCTGACGTGAGATGGTCAGCAGCCGGGACAGGGGCCAGATCCTTCAAGAAAAGCCAAGCCGCTAGTCGCCGATCCCGGCCGAGCTCACCCCGCCGCGGTCCCAAGGTCCCAAACCCCGTCCCCAGCCCGCTGGAACCCACCGAGCAATAGGACCGCTCGGGAGCCGCCGGAGCCCTGCAGTCTTGCAGGACCTGGGCGTGGCTTCTCAGAGAGGGAGGCGCCCGGGAGAGCTTACGTCACTCCGGCTCTGGACGTCGATTGGCTGGGGTGCAGTGCGCGGAGCCCGCCAGCGTCTCCGCCCAGCCCCGCAGCTCCTCCTCCTCTCCCAGCCGCTGTGCCCCCCGCTGGCTCGAGAAGGAACCGCTCAGGCCGTCGCCGCCAGCCCAGTGCGGACGCGGAGAAGGAGGCGGAAGACGGTCGCGCTGGTCGGCTTGCTCCTCCCGCACCCGGCTCCCCAGCAGGCGCGGCGGCCAGGGGCGGAGCCGCCGCGGGCACGCCCCGCCTCCGGCCCGGGACGACGACGCTGGCCGGCCACCGCCCCCCTCGCCGGCGAGACCCGCCCCCGGCCCGCCCCGCCCCGGCGGCATGGAGGGGCAGCGCTCTTGACCGCCGCGCCGCCGCCCGGGCTCTCGGCTCTTCCCGCCGCCCCCGCTCCCCCGCTCGCATGTCCGCGCCGCCTTAGCCGAGGATGCTGAGGATGAAGCTGCCGCCGAAGTCGACGCACCCCAGCGAGCCGCCACCCGACGCGGAGGAGCCCGAGGCGGACGCGCGGCCGGGCGCAAAGGCGCCGCCGCGCCGCCGCCGCGACTGCCGCCCGCCGCCGCCGCCCACGGGCCTGTCGCGGGCCCCCCCTCCGCCGCCGCCGTCGCCGCCCCGGGGGCTCGAGCCGCCTGTTGCTGACGGGCCGACGGCGGGCATGCCGGGCGGCGGCGGGCACGCGGCGGCGCTGCGCGAGCAGGAGCGGGTGTACGAGTGGTTCGGGCTGGTGCTGGGCTCGGCGCAGCGCCTGGAGTTCATGTGCGGGCTGCTGGACCTGTGCAACCCGCTGGAGCTGCGCTTCCTCGGCTCGTGCCTGGAGGACTTGGCGCGCAAGGACTACCACTACCTGCGCGACTCCGAGGCCAAGGCCAACGGCCTCTCGGACCCAGGGTCGCTGGCCGACTTCAGAGAACCCGCCGTGCGTTCGCGCCTCATCGTGTACCTGGCGCTGCTGGGCTCGGAGAACCGGGAGGCCGCCGGCCGCCTGCACCGCCTCCTGCCCCAGGTGGACGCGGTGCTCAGGAGCCTCCGCGCGACGCGGGCCGAGGGCTCGCGTGGCAGCGTGGAGGACGAGCCGGGTGGCGATGGCGAGCAGGACGCGAAGAAGGACGGCCTCGGCCCGGAAGGCGGCGGCTGCGCCGAGCTCGGGACTGGAGGCGGGCTTGGCTTCAGGGCCCAGGAGGAACTGCTGCTGCTCTTCACCATGGCTTCGCTGCACCCGGCTTTCTCCTTCCACCAGCGGGTCACCCTGAGGGAGCACCTGGAGAGGCTCCGCAGCGCGCTCCGCGTGGAGCCCGTGGACGCGGAGGTGGAGGCGTGCAACTTTGCGGGCTCCAGGGCCCAGGTAAGGCTCGGAGGTGCGAACCAGCGGCCCCGCCCTCGGAGGCCCCCCGAATCCAGCTCCGACCCCAGCCTCGTGTAGGTGTCCCGGAATAACCACGCCACGGCTCTCGCCACGGCTGACCTCTTCGTTTTCTTGGGCGACTCCGCTCCAGTCACCCTCATACACAAACAAGCCGCCCGCCATAACAGAATGCTCTAGAAGTCTCTACGTGCACGAGTTGCCACGGAAGACGGGGAGCTCTCTGACCCGAGACCTCGGATGACGAGGCTTGTGGGACGCTTTGGGCTTTGAGCATTGTGGGCACTAGGTGCAAACGAAAAAGGAAGCGCTAGAAGGGCCTGTCAGCTGCAGTCTAGCCCTGGGTGGGCCGTTTCCTAGTCTGTCAGCCTGCTTAAAGTCTATGCCATAAGGGACTTTTCATGCTTAGTGTGTGCCAGTTAAAAAGTTCGAGTAGGTCTTTTGGCTCCTACTTAGAGAAGTTTGTATTCTCAGAAAAAAAAAAATCTATGGAGATCTATTAATTAACTGACCTAACACTGGTCATCTGGGTAAAAGGCCTGGGATCGCCTGGCCAAGCCTTTAACCACGGAAAGCTTTCCTAAGGGGCTTGACTTCTGCTTCCAGAGTTGGGTCTGGTAATCATAGGTCTTTACTATAGGCCTTAACGGTGTCTAAAGGAGTTATTTAAACACATATTTAGTGCATAGGAATCCACTTGTCGCAAAAATGGAAGAATTTTTAAGGAATTTTGAGAGCAGTCTAATTAGGCCCAATGAGCCGGTTAAGGAAGGTGACTTAATGGAGGCTGGGGTTAGGTTTCAGTTGTAGTAAAACTAGATTAAAAGCTTATTTTTGTGGATCAGGTCTTTTGAAAGATATTGATTAGGATGTCAGGCTTTTCCAGTTTAAGAAGGGAGATTTCCCTTCCCTCCTTGCTTGAAAGTTAACAAAGTGTCTGAAGTCATCCAGTATCCTAGAACTCAAATTGAGCATTGTGATTCACTGATGATTGGATATACCCAAAGACCCAGGCCATTTAGGATCAATCACAAAGGGTTTTCTAGATAACCTAGGCGGAGTGGTTCGTGTTTTTTTTTCCCCCATGAGGCTTTTGTGAAGTGACAAGTTCCTGTTTTATTATAAACCTTAAAAATGCAGATGTAGTAAAGCTAGTACTTTGCATTCTCTTGGTGATTAATCATACCATCTTCTAGTGTCTCTACTACCAGCATACAGTGTGTAATGATAGTGAAAGTTAATTCACACTTCAGCCTGCTCACGAAATAGACCTGAGAAGGTACACCACTCAGCTATTAAATTTAGAGAAGAAAGCATGAATTCCAGATCAGGGTGCACCTGTTTTAACACGCTTTCTTGTGACTAAAGATAACCTTGAATTTGGTCTGATGAAAATGCTCACAGTGGGAAAGTTTGCGTGATTCCTTTCGCACAACACACCAGCGTGGGTAGTCACTGCAGAATTTTAACTGTCAGGAGTCTCCTCCCTTACGTTTAAGGTGAGTGTCCTAAAGCAGACTGAGGGGATAGGTATGTGCTAATCAGAGGAATGAGATTTTCTTTCTTGCCTGCAGTGCATGGCCTTTTCTGGCCACCAGTGAATGCTGGGGAGAGTGGACAGACATTGGGCACGCTGCCATTAATTTTAGCACGCTATCACTTCTCGGGAAGTGGGAGCAGGGACTAAATCCTGCAGGGATTTGTGAGTACTACACACGACCCTGGCGCTGTTGCTTAGCACTTGCTTTGGCATGCTGAACATGTTTCCCAGCTGTTGAGGATTGGATGGACAAACCGTTGCTGTCTGAAACTACGAAGATCCCACCTTTTGGAGGCGGGCGAGTTTCCGTGTGGTCTCCAAGTCCTCCAGCTGACGCTCGTTTCGGGCTGTCACTCTAGCGGCTGCGGTGCAGGTGGGCTGTTTACGTGCCCAGCCCGCGGTCCAGCCCAGCGGTCGCTCGGTCCTCGGTGACCTAAGCACTCGCCAGGTCGGGCGCGGGCGCGATTCCGCCCGGACAAGGCTGGAGCGCCGGCGGCTCAGGAGCGGTCGCGGCCCACAGACAGCGGCCAAGCTGGGCCGCCCCTCCTCCGCCCGGCAAGATGGCGGCCGCGCAGCCCACGTGACCGAGGGCTGGCCCGCCCTGGACCCGAGCCTCGGCCTGGCTTGGTGGTGGAGGTGGAGAACCACGTGGGCCCGGTAAAGGGGAGGTGGGGGGGGTGCATGCCATTGCCCCGGAAGTAACTTCGGTTACAGGTATGCAGCTTCTCATTGCTTAGGAAGCATATTGGGCTTTTATTAGTGTGTGTGACCAGGGGAAGCATATTTACCTGCCCTCAGTGGATGAGGAAAAAGAAAATGAACTCTTTAATTTTTTGAAAAGTATACAGATCTAGAATACTGTACCTAGTTTTATAGTTGTACCTAATAACTATGTAGCGGATTTGTCTAACATTTTTTAAACCAATGACATTTATGGGTAGAACACGTACTTTAGCCAGCTCAGTGTCTTGCCATGAGCTCTGTAAGGACTTGATGACTAGTTCACAAGCTATCCCCAGAGAAACAAGTACACGTGTGGTTTTACTCCTAGAAGTGACAATTCGTAGTTTTTAGGATGGGATTTATATAATTCTGTAGTGTTACATGGCGTTGAAACTTCAGTAGTGGCGTTCTTTTAGGAGACTTGCACATAAACCTCATTTTCTTCCCAGCTGCAGTAGACTGCCATTAACTTGTCTATGATTCCACAAACAGGCCGAAGAACAGCACTAGGAATGCCCATTAGCCGTGACCTAGGAAACCTCTGTAGCTCTTTGTTAGAGTTCTTGTAATTGGAAAACAGCTGAAAACACCCGACGTTAAACAGGCCTCTTCCTATTACTAGGAAGGTAAACCATAAAGACTTAGGAACAAACCCCATGTAGCTTGAGAGGTATTAGCCTTCTTATTAGTTCATTGAAAAGACATGTATCCTCCCGTGTGTGAGTGGTTAAAGGCACTCAGACTATTCATGAGATGCACTGCCTGGTTTTAGGTTTATACCTTACTAGCAATACAAAGGTGTAAGCATTGGTTGTCTCCGGAGTCCACAGTGGTAGTTCTTAGAGCTTGAAGAATGGTTGTTTGACCTGACAAATAGTATTAATACTTGAATAAAAGATTAAAATATGAATACTAAGACACTTGATCTGTGTCTTAGTGTCACTTGAACTCATCAAAATTAAGTGGCTGTGAGTTCTTTACTAAAATTACTAAATTTACTGGGGGGAACTTGTGATATTGTTTCTTTTTCTGTAAACATGTAAATTAGCTGTATTGTCTTTGACCAAATATTTCTACTCATTTTGAAATACAGATTATGTGAATTGAGTTTTGTTGGAGCCTAAGAAACAAAACTCTACAATGACTTTTAGCAAATTCTACTTCTCCAAGAAAATTAGTTTGTGCCACCAGAGTTCATAGAGAAAGCAGCTACCCAGAAATTTAGATACAAGGAAATGCTTTTTTTTTTTTTTTTTTTTTTTTTTTTNAGGGTTTCTCTGTGGCTTTGGAGCCTGTCCTGGAACTAGCTCTGTAGACCAGGCTGGTCTCGAACTCACAGAGATCCGCCTGCCTCTGCCTCCCAAGTGCTGGGATTAAAGGCGTCCGCCACCATCGCCCGACTACAAAAATGCTTTTTTAAGAGAGCTATAGAAAAGAATAGTGTTCTATTGTTTTTGAGACAACGTTTCACACATAACCCAGGCTTGCCTCAAACTGAAAATCCCACTTCCATTGCCTCAGGAATGTGGAATATAGGTATGTGCTATTTCATTGGTTAGAAATTGTTTTTAAAATTCACCAGGAATACATATTTGTATTGCTTTTAAGGCATTGCTAGAATATATCTTGCTGTGACGAGTGATGGTCGGAGAGTGGAACTTGCCTGAGGTTTCCCATGTTGGATGGTCTTGTTCTAGGAGCAAGTACTTGAGCTGGGTCTGCCTCCTGGGTGGTGGAAGGGGAGAGAACAGGTGTAGCACAGCATCTTGAGGTGGAGGTAGGAGCAGGAATAGCCATATCTTCATGTCAAATGTTTGGCTGCAGCAAAGAGTAAAAGCAGCAGCTGTGGTATAAGAACTCTTGTTCAAAGAGCCTTTTTACAATCAGGTAGTCACTATTTTAGTTAGCAGATAATTACCAAAATAAAGCACGTGGTTTCCTGTTCAGTGATTTTTCTCCTGGGACGCAGGTGTAGAAGGAACGCACGTGCTCTTCCTCCGGCTAAGACCACCACGCACCTGCACTGCCTTCCTGTGGACAGGTTGGTTTTTGTGTGGTAGAGATCTCGGAGAGAGAGACAGACCTGGGAAGAGAGGGTGGGAGCAGAAAAGCATGCTCCAGGAGCAGTTTACGGGGCAAAGGATTCTCAGCACCTACATGGCAACTCAAAACCACCTCTAATTTCAGGGGATCTGATGCCCACTTCTGGCCTCCAAGGGTACCAGGCACACATGGTGCCCATACATGCGCGCAGATGAAACACACATAAAGACCTCAGATAAACTACTCCTGAATGAGCACCAAACACTGCTACTGAGTCACTGGTAGCGAACCAAAGGTCAAATATTCACTAGAGCACAGGAACCAAAAGAACAGGCCACCTCCCTTTCACACTGCCCACGTACAGAGACAGACTAGATTATCACAGGAGCAGAGAACTCTATAAAAGCAGGAAAACCTTGTTTATTGTCAGTGTTCTCTGTCTTTATTTTTTTTGTCAGCATTGCATGTGTTATAATTTTCTCAGCCATAATTTCTTAAGCCTAGACTTTCAAATATATAGGAGAATTGCTGTAAGAGTGGAAGCATTGAACAGTGATTTTTTTTTCTTTCTTTTTTTTTTTTTTTTTTTCTTTTTTGGTCTTATTTGTATGGAGGCACAAATGGGTACAGACCCGGAAGTGGTGGTCTGCTAGTAGGAGAGGTCGTGATTATGAAC